TTTCTAGAGACAAACTCTAGACCATTCACACTCTTACAAGACTACTCTTTCTTCTCACTCTCACTTGGTTGCTTGCTTGCTTGATTACAAGCTTACTACACCACACATAGCACTACCTTATATTTATACATGGCATAACCGACCTAGCCAAAGTCGGTGGACTTGGCTTGTGCATTTCCAGCCACTAACTTATATTTCTTTCTAGAATTTTCACTAACATTCCATTACAACAATCTTAAGATATTTGTTTACATAATTCTAGATAGGTAACCGACTTTGGTGCTAGAATTGTCTAGCATTTTCAGTTCATGCACCGTCCATCTCCCATGCATATTTGAATCTTCAGAACCTTTTAGCTAGTACCACCGACATAGTATTTTGCTAGAGTTGTCTAACATCCAAACACTAATTGGGCTGGTGTTGATCTTCAACACTCCCCCTCAACACCAGCTCATTCTTTCCTCCATGTTGAGTTGATGATGGAACTTTTCGAACTTGCCGATACTCAAACCTTTAGTGAACAAGTCTGCAACTTGTTCATTTGTATTAATATGTCTCATCTTAATCTCTTCCTGCAAGACCTTCTCTCTAATGAAATGATAGTGTACCTCCACATGTTTAGTTCTTGCATGAAAGACTGGATTTTCCGCCAAGCGAATTGTCGATTAGTTATCACAATACAATGGTACTGCATAATCTACTGGTTGTTGTAAATCACTCATCAATTATACCAGCCATGCATTCTCTTGAGTTGTCATTGCTGCTACTCTATACTCTGCTTCCGTGGTTGACAAAGACACTGTTGGTTGTTTCTTGCTGCACCACGAAACTACTTCAGAACCAATTCTGAAGACATACCCAGTGGTCAATCTCCTGGTGTCGTGATCTCCTGCAAAATCTGCGTCACAATAGCCAACCAACTTACCATCTTCTCTTTTCTTGTACAAGAGACCATAGTCAATTGTACTCTTTACATATCTCAATATTCATCGAACCGCTTTTAGATGAGGCTTCTTTGGATTTTGCATGTATCGACTTATCACACCAATTGCATAAGAAATGTCAGGTCGAGTCAAAGTCAGATAGATCAGACTACCTACCAATTGTCGATACATTGTTGCATCTTCCAAGTCTCTGCCTTCATGTGCACACATCTTGGCATTGGGTTCCACCAGTGTTGAGATTGGCTTGCATTCAAGCATCCCAAACTTCTGCAACAAGTCTTTTGCATACTTTTGTTGACACAGAAATATCCCTTTTTGTGTGCAATTAACCTCTAATCCAAGAAAGTGATTGAGTTGTCCAAGTTCTTTCATCTTGAACCGAATTGACAAATTTTCCTTTGTTCGACGAATTTCGACCTCATCATCGCCAATGATGATTAGGTCATCCACATACACCAGCACGATATCTATCTTTCCTCCATTAGCTTTAACAAAGAAGCTGGAATCTGTATGCACCACCGAGTAACCACTTTGCGTTAGAAATTCTGCAATCTTACCGTACCACTTCAAACCATAAAGTGCTTTCCTCAACTTACACACGTACTCGGGATGAGCTTTGCTTTCAAAGCCCATTGGATGCATCAAGTAAATCTCCCGATCTAACTCTCCATGCAAGAAAGCATTATTCACGTCCATTTAGTATAGATTCCAATCTTTGTTAGCTGCAAGTGCAAGTAGGACTCGTACGGTCATAAACTTTGCTACTGGACTAAACGTTTCATCATAGACTAGTCCATACTGCTGAGAGAAGCCTCGAGCCACCAACCGAGCCTTGTACCTTTCAACTGAAGAAAGCATTATTCACGTCCATTTAGTATATATTCCAATCTTTGTTAGCTGCAAGTGCAAGTAGGACTCGTACGGTCATAAACTTTGCTACTGGACTAAACGTTTCATCATAGACTAGTCCATACTGCTGAGAGAAGCCTCGAGCCACCAACCGAGCCTTGTACCTTTCAACTGAACCATCAGGATAACGCTTTATCTTGTACACCCAATTGCAGGATATGGGTTTCATATCCTTTGGCTTTGGCACCAAATCCCAAGTCTGATTCTGCTTAAGCACAATGATTTCTTCTTCCATAACTCTTACCTATTCAGAACTCTATGATGCTTTTTCAAACGCCTCAGGTTCTTTTGGTGCTCCATCAGTTATGGCAGCATTGGTATATTTAGGATTTGGCTTTCGTACTCTTGTTGACCTTCTTAGTTGTGCTTATGGAGTTGATGCTTCCACTCCACTAGATCTAACTTCTTATGGTTGTTGGTACACACCTGTTTGCTAAGGACTCTTAGGTATTTCTTGCTCGACATCGTCTCCAGCAAGCAAATCTTCAAGCTTATCTGGACTTGATTGGATTTGGGCAACTTGGTCTCCCAATTTCCCTTGCAACTTATCTTCAAACTCTTTTGAGTCGGGCAACGGCTCATTTTCTAAGCACCAACAAGATGATGCTTCTACGTCCCATTCTTCCTGTACAGTTAGAGATGCAACGACATCCCAATCATCTTCAATTTTCTTCTCTGAGTTGGCGACGTTACTTTCTGCAGGCCTTTTGAATTAGCAATCCTTTGCCATGTGGCCCTTCTTTTCACAATTGTAGCACTTGCCCTCAAACCTTTTATTATTCTAGGATTGACCACAGTTGCCATGATGCTTGAAGCTTTCCCTGGTCGAGAACTCCCTCCTCCTTGATAACCTTTTTCCTTGTCACCATTTCTTTTAGATCCATCACCAACACGCTGCTTAAAGCTGCCTTTACTTTTGGTGTAGAGCGCTTCCTCCTTACCTCTTAACGAGACCTCTCCCATTTGCTTTGCCAAAGCTTCTTGATCGGCAAGCAAATTCTCAAACTCAACAAGTGATGGTTGGGTTGGCCATCCTTGTACAGCAGTAACGAAGCCTCGATATTCGGGTCTCAATCCATGGATAATTATTCTTTTTATCCTGGATTCTACAATGACAGCACTAGGATCTAATTTAGAAATTTCACGGCAAATAGACTTTACCTTGTGGAAATACTGTGCAATCGTCATGTCCCTTTGGGCCACTGATAATAGCTCATTCTCGAGAAGCTGCAATCTTGTATTGTTCCTCTTTGAAAAGAGTGTGGCGAATGTGTCCCATGCTTCTTTTGGTGTCTTGGCCTTCCGTATGTGCTCCAACATGTCATCTTCAACTGTGGTTTTTAAGGCGAACATTGCCTTACCTGCCTTGATCTTCCACTTTCGCATAGTGTCGCTGGTGTCTTCTTCCGGCTACATAACTTCATTATCGCCGACGACATCCCAATGATCTTGGCCTTGTAGGTAAGACTCCATACATGTCGCCCACGTGTTGTAATTTTTGTTGTTCAACTTCTTGATTCCTCCAACAACTTGAAAGTCTTTCATCGTGTCGGCAGAGCTTTGATAAGACGAACAAGATTAACCAATAATCTTGCGAAGTACTAAACTTCTCACGATTCTCGGAAGCTTCAATAGAGACGGTCCCTGATCGTACTACTCTGATACCAATTGTTGGGGAAAGACTTAGAGTACTCAACTCTAACACAAGTGTTGGAGAGACAACACAAGTAAACTAATTACTTGTATTACACACACAAAATATTACAACACAAAGTATCAAAGACACTCTTGGGAAGCTATGACACTCACTCATTTTCTAGAGACAAACTCTAGACCACTCACACTCTTACAAGACTACTCTTTCTTCTCACTCTCACTTGGTTGCTTGCTTGCTTGATTACAAGCTTACTACACCACACATAGCACTACCTTATATTTATACATGGCATAACCGACCTAGCCAAAGTCGGTGGACTTGGCTTGTGCATTTCCAGCCACTAACTTATATTTCTTTCTAGAATTTTCACTAACATTCCATTACAACAATCTTAAGATATTTGTTTACATAATTCTAGATAGGTAACCGACTTTGGTGCTAGAATTGTCTAGCATTTTCAGTTCATGCACTGTCCATCTCCCATGCATATTTGAATCTTCAGAACCTTCTAGCTAGTACCACCGACATAGTATTTTGCTAGAGTTGTCTAGCATCCAAAGACTAATTGGGCTGGTGTTGATCTTCAACACGCGGTCCACTACAAATTACACTGATGTTGTCTTCATTTAATCACCTTGCAATCAATAGGTGTGAGACTTTATGCAAAAGACCTTGATACAATTAGAAGTGAAACCATTTGATATAAGTTGTGATTTATTTTGTAAGATGGCCGATGTGAAATTTTTTTTTTACGTATGTTGAACCATTTTGGAGTGGGCCACATGTGGTGCTATATCATTCATGTTTGTAACTGAATCCATTCAAGCCCAAATTTGACAATCGGCTTTGATACCATGTTAAAGTTTCAGAGATACAAGTCACGGTCCATCACTAACAGCATTAATCAATCATGCACTGTGAGATTTTTATGCAAAAGACCACACTACAATAAAAAATAAAATCATCTGATATAAGTTATGATTTGTTGTATAAGATAACCGACGTAGGATTTCATGTTTTTATTCAACAAAGTGACCAAATAAGCTCTTTACCAAATAGGTTCTATGTCATGTGGCAATATCACGTTGCATGGTGATACCTTCAATATCGCCAAAGCAGTTCTTTTGCGATAGTTATACCGTTGCATAGTAAACAGAAACTACAAAAACAGCGAGGCAACATGCGTATATAATTGACTTGGTTACATTTCTAATTAGTCAGTACTTTCACATCCAATCCTTCGTACAATTGATATCATCATTAGGTCCACGAAAAAGCCCCACAATAGCACGAAGGACAACACTTAATTAGCATTAATCTGGACCCAAGTTAATTTAAGGATTTTCATAAACCACATCTTTTCAAGTAATATATATTTATGCACTCGCTGTAAGACAGTCCACAAATCACCTTGAGAATCAATTAACAATTGGAACCCAAGTCATTGACTTTTAAGTAATTCCATTTACATAATAATTGATAACTGGAAATAACGAAATACAACTTCATTCATCATCAGTTTAGATACAAAGTTACACACTTTACAATTTTAGTAAAAAAATAAAAAAAAATAAAAAAAAAAAATACAAAAGAAAATAGAAAATTACAACTTGATCGAAATTACTTGTGATAAGCTAGCATTCTTAGCTAGCTTGATCTCTCTCCCTGCATGAACCTTTTATTTCATTTTTTTCAACTTATATTATACACACTAGAAAATATACCTTCAAATTTCTCAGTAAATTTTGACAAAGATGCCCTCACTTGGAATTTGCTGGTGAACCACGAAGAGAATGTAGTATCCGGAAGGCGCAAGATTTTTCGAAGGCGGAGTTGTCACTTGAACTTGATACGTTGTTGGCCCTACCTGTTGTACGTTCTCCGCACCAAGAACCAACAGCCTTTGATTCATCGAGAATGAATGCGTGCTAAAAGGCGGTGCCACCATCGTCACCGATACTGAATTCTTTGCAAACGTGCCCGTAAGCGAGAATTGAATGGCTAATTTTATTCCATAATGGATTTTGGCTTGGTTTCCAGGTGCAAGGATTGTAGGACGCAAGTTCGCGTACTTAGCATCGAGATACTCGGGACTAAATGCTTCTAACCTCAGTTCTGTTGGGAAAAGTACGTCGTTGCCAAATTGGTATTTTTCGTGTGGGTTACTACCGCCAACGATCACTCTACCGTCACGTACCAATAATGCTGAGGAATGGTACATCCGTGGTATGGTGGTAGGGTTTTGTTGTTCGAACCGTGACCCGACTGCATTATCAGGTCGGTACACAACTGGATTGAAAACCGGATTACGCCCGATTTCCCAACCGGCAACCCCGGACGATGCACCGTTAATGAGTAAAACAGTGCTGTCTGGGAGCAATAACATGTCACCCATGACTCTAGCTTGAGGCATAGTTTCAACAATCCACTGTGGATTAGGGTCTGTTATTTTGATCCGAGCACATGTGTTTAGAGCTTCCACAAAAGTACCCTTATTTGCCTGGACAAAAGACCCTTTTGGTGCTCCACCGCAGACCAAAACTTCAGCCTCAACAGATGGAGCCATCAAGTTCTTCAATGGTAGCAATACGGCTGAACCCGTGCTGGGGTACGACCTCGGGTCGCCTCCTGGTATTTGCGGGTAGGTTTTAACGACGACGTTCTTCACGTAGTCCAACAAAATAGCTCGATTGTTAGCGAAAACAAATAAGTTGCCATCAGGGTTGAGAAAAACAAAAGGGTATAGATTGTTTTCTTGGCCGGGGTCATTGGTCTGCGAAAGGAACGGCAAGCTGTAGACATTGCTTGTAGACGCGGTCTTCGGATAAAATTCATAGTTGAATTGCCCCCTGCCGCCGATGATAATTTCGCGTCCATCAGGCAGAATATGATTAGTTGCGTACCAACGGCGAGCAGCTAAGCCGTCCACAATCTCCTTCCAATCACAACCCGTGCAGGGCGTGAAAACTCTAACGCGGCGCTCGCCGATGTTGTTGCCGCCTGTTTGGATTAAGTTTCCGTAAGCGTCCATTGAGCCGGAGGAGCACCAGACGTCGGATAAGACCGTGAGGGGGCGGACGGCATTGGTTTGGACGACGAACTCGGCGGAGTGGGCGGTGCAGTCGTTATTGACGCAGTTACCGTTGGGCAAGGACAAGTTGGATTTGCCGAAGTCGGTGCGGTCGAACAAGACGATGCGGTCGTTTTTGAAGAGCTGCATGTGCATGGCGGAAATGCCAACGTTTTTCAGCACTTGCCATTTGCCACCTGCAGCGTGGGCCGTCAGAACAGAGAAATTGGTTATTAACAACAGAAGTGAAAGATCAATGAGACTAATTGTCTTCATTCTTTCTTGGATTTTGCTGACGTGGTCCTTCTGAATCTCTTTATTTGTGCTTTTAGCTTTGTGGGTCTGTCTCAACTCATTACCTGGAGCTCCTTAAATACTAGGGTTTGAGCTACCCATTCTATATTATATACGCGTGGGACCGACAATTTGTCCGGCTAGTGAAAAGGACTGATGTAGTCGAAGAGCAATTCACAATGGGAATGCTAACTAACCTTATTACTCTAGTTTGGTATTATTGTGCTTTGAAAAAAAAATTGTTTCTATTGTATTGTAAGAATAAGTAGTTGTAAAATAAAATAATAAAGTGTTTGGTAACAATAATTGTAAAAGTGCTTTGAATAAAAAAAACAGTGTTATAGTATTTGGTAAATATTTATGTAGAACAGCTGTAATTATGTAAAATGACAAAAAAAAAAAAAAAACTTATGGGTTTTTCTTCCTTTCTTTTTCTTTCTGCCAAAAAGTTCATGATTGTTTTCTTTTTCCTTTGTTCTTTGTTTCCCTTTCTTTCTAACTTTTTCATTCTTCTTTCTTTATATTTTGTTCTACCAAAATGTTTCTGGCTTTTCTTCCATTTTTCATCAATGATCCCTCCTGAAATTTCAATGTCCTCACCCACCTTCGTCCCTTCGCATTTCTCTTTCAGTTCCAGCGATCTGGGACCTTCATCCTCACTCCCATTTCTATTTCCTGCATTTTGATTTCCAAGGCATTACATGTTTTGGAAGGTGCAGTGGTGGATGGGTGGGTGGGATCTGGGTTATCATCTAGCAAGGAGTGGGTTGGGATCATGGTCTGCGAGGTGGCGATGGGTGTATTTGGTGGGGATTGGGAGAGAGATGGGGTGGCGAATCTGGACAGTAAGAAGAGATGAAGGGGATGGGGTGGTGAATCTGGGTAGTACGGCGCCAGAGAGCGATTGGAGAAGGGGGGTGGAGCCTAGAACTGGGATGAAGGAGAAAGAGAGGGTAAGGTTGCCATTTTGAAAAATTCATTTAATGGCGCTGTTAACCCGTGTATTATGATAAAAAGCTGGTTTTCCAAAGAGAGTTTTGCTGCTTTGCCTTTTTAGTTTTTTTTTTTTTTTTTTTACCCAAAACTATGAAAAAAAAAAGCTGATTTTGAAAGTTTACCAAACACAAAAAAAAACTGAGTGTTTTTTGCATACTGCTATTTTTTTTTTAAGTTAAGCAGCACCAAACTGGTACTTAGCCAGGTCTTTTTCTTGTTTTTATTTTTATAATTATACTTGTTAAATGTTTATTCTTTCGTTGGTTGATCAAATTTATTTCCTTTTTTTTTTTTTCAAGTACATATCTTAGGTATAACTAAGCTTATCGACTTATTCTTTCATTGGGTTGATGAACTTTGTTTCCTCTTTCTAATTTCTAGTTCATATATATGCTAGGTACGTATATAAAAAAAAAATTGATCAGTTTAATGCATACACATATTAATTAGAGACAAAATATGAAATGATTGCTTGTTTGGGTCAAAAATCGAAATATAGTCGTCAAGAGTGAAAACTACCTTTCGAACTCTAATTATTAACTTCTTAATTTTGAACTTAATTTCCAGTTGAATGATGTTATAGATTTTGGTATATGAAAGAAAATTTTTTGTGCATATGCATGCATTTTTGGGAAGCAAACTTATCAATGTGTATTTCAGAAGCTGCTCTTGTTAGGTTAATACTAAGATGAGAACTATAATATTAATTAGATTCTTGATCATGCATGGTTCTAATATTCCATTTGGTAGATATCCATTGCACTTCTCTTTATTTTCTAGACATTTGGTCTGTATTAATTGTACAATCTTGCGTCCTAATAATAATGTAAAGGTTGTCCAATGCGTGCATGGCTGAGGGAGTTGACAAAGTGACAGCAATAAATATATTATATTCCAGTAACTAAATATAACGCTCGGTCAAACCTCCCTGCGATCAAACCTTTGCCATCTTATATATTCTCATCATTCTTAATTTTGAATAGGCCAATCAGAAAGAGAAAATATTTCAATGACACGAGTACATTACTAGCATTCGGTGTCCATGATATTATGATACAAAGATATGCATAAATTTTTGTCTTCAAGAGTCATATTATTGATAGTTTCAGAGAGACCGGCCAAATAGTTCAACACCTATATTGTTCTCAACCTAACAACCTGTAGCCCAAGTGGTGTGTGAGATTTTATTCTAAAAGAGCTCGGTGTAATTACGAATGGAACCATTTGTATATAAATTGTAATTTGTTTTGTCTCCGATGTGGGATTTCCAACATGCCCCTTCACGTGCGATCATATATTTATGGGCCACACGTGAAGAGAACTTCCATATCGAGAAAGTAAAGACAAGCACGTTAATACTACACACTTGGACTAGACCCAGTAATGCGGTTCAGAAAGAATACAAACCCAATATTCGAGTTCATACAAAATTCGCTCTAATACCATGTTGAAAAAGAATTTCACGGCAAATTGTGTACTTTATTGATACATTTTGAATGTATACAACTAGTTATATTGTACAATAAGGAATCTTGTAATCTAGGGATAAAATCAAGTATCAATTACATGAAAAAAGGATAGTGTTACTCACACCTATTTTTATTTTCGACACATCCTGGTTAATTTTTGTTTCCAGTGATTTTCTTCAGTTCATTTGATCTGACAGCCGAAAATTGAGTATGTGAGAAGTAAAAATGAGTGTAGGAATAACAAAAATGGCTGAAAAACTTCCTACCTAAAATACATTGACATTTTAATATATACTTGTATCATCTAAATGGTTACCCTGACCGAAAAGATATATATTCGTGCAAAGAAAGAGGGTTTTGGCATAAACGGCCAGCCATAATCGAATCGTATCTAAATAAAGAGGCTTTTGGCTTGAATATATATATTTATGTATGTATGTATGTATGTATGTATGTATGTATGTATATGTATATGTATATGTATGTGTATGTGTATGTATATGTATGTATGTATGTATGTAAATGTTGTCCTAATATATCGATGGGTCAATCTCTCTTCCTATATGGTCTGCACCTGTTGCAAATATTAAACAAGAGAAATGAAACCAGTTAATGGCAATGCATGGCATATCATTGCTGCCGACAATGCCGATCTAGGGTTTTTTTTTTTTTTGTATATCTATAGCTTGGGGCCGGCAGCTACTAGTTCCTAAAGCCAAGTCCGAGCACAATGTCCTGTACTGTAAATTTATTTTATTTTGAGGTCAAGCAGCTGTAATTTGAGTCTTATAACAATAAACTAAGATTAAGTGCAGACTAATTGACTTGATCAATCACATACCTTGAATGTATGGATCATCAATATTATATTTTATATTTAGCATCAGGTTATGATTATTAAGCAAATTATATATGATTAAATAAGAAAAGGAAACCGATTATCTAGTTTTCTTCTTGCAAGTTTTGTATAGCTAGATTTGTGTGCATAACGATTTCTTGAACTCAAATATAATTGTTTTAAGCTTCACCTCATAATTATCTAGTTTCGGTATTCTTTGACAAATTCTCAGATTCATTTTCGAACATGCTTATAGAGAAGCATATATGACAGCAAATGAAGTGCTAGTTTGGAGTTCCTATGTTTTTTTTTTTTTCAAAACTGCTTCTATTGTGCTATGAAAATAAATAACTGTGAAAAAAGTTGGTAAGTATTTGATAAACTATAATACTAAAAGTGCTTTTAGGAAAAAGAAAAAAAAAATTATAGGAGTAGAACTATCAATATGAAAGTTTCATTAATTGGTACTATTCATTTTCCTATAAAAAAAAAAAAACACTTTTTTGACAAGCATGTGTAAGGCTAGCTGCTTCTACTTTCTGCTATTTTGGACACATGATCTTGAAAAAAAAAAACACTTTATTTTCATGAATCAAACACAATTAAGACTCCAACTCTTTTAAGGAGCTGCTTTTATAAACATTTAAGCAATCCCAAACCATCCCGAAATATATACATATATCTAAAGCTAGTTGCATGCTAGCTCTACACGGTGGCTCGAATCAGTTCAAATATCTCCTTCGCAAAACAGATACATAGTGTGTGAGCATCTTCTACACAAATTGTTTAGGTCCCTCGCTAGCTTTAAACAAAACATCTTCTGCTTAACGAAAACAATGTTTTACATGATATTTACGTTTTCTACAAAAAAGGATATGCTTATCAAAGTTTCCGAGTAAAATTATATAAATTCATTAAAAAAACATGAGAAAGTCAAATCATGATCCATTAATTAATTCTTCACTGTTATTAGATGAGATATTCCTTAATTAGTTTATTCTGATGATTATATATGCATATATACGGTTGAGGAAGATCAATCAGAATGTCTTATGTATACGGTTGGTCACGCACATAAATTCTTCCAATAAGTTTATAATGTACTTCATTCTGATCTCATATTCTCAAAATAATTGAAAATCGACCTGGCTAGTTTTGACATTATCATCTCAATTAAATAAAAAAGGCACGTCTCAGTATTATACAATATATATCCACCATATACCATCTTTGCAACATTCTGTGTGTGAAAATTCTTAGTACCCTTTATTTTCTAGTTTTGGTCGAAGAATATTGTTAGTTCGAGAGCATCGTGAAAGTTTCCTCACTTATTATATCTGGAATTTGAATAAAACTCTTAATTCATGATTCTGAAGAATGATTAATTAGCAGCCATGCGTGCTTGCAAGGAGACAAAACCACCAAACTGTACGAGTCAAACCTTTGAGTCATGAACTTATAAGCACCATAGGCAGAGGGAATAAACCATTTTTCTTACCACCAGGAGACAAAACCATTGCTGGTGGAGAGACAAAAATATAATGCAAGAAATATTATTTGGTGAGGACTCAGAATTTTAAACGCTTTTAAAATGGTCTACCTTAATTATCTAGTTTCAATATTGATGTGCCAGTCAATAGTGTTGAAGTTCTAACTCCTTGTTTAGCCTAATCAATACGTGCAAAAGACTTTCTTGACAAGAATTGGCAATGCGAATTTGTATTTACAGAGAGAAGAGA